TATAGCAGAAGTAATAAAACAAAAAGTGGCCGACCATTATTTCATTGCGCTTAGGATTATGGGTGAGGATCCTACGATCAAAACCAATAAGCAAGTACATTACCAGATTCTAGACAACAGTAAAATAGATGATAAGGTGAAAAGATTCAACTGGAACTCTTTGTTCCATCTTGATCACGTCACCCTATATAAAACGGTGGTCGAGAAGTTCAATGATATATACGAGAGCTCGAAAAGAACGATAAAATTGACACAAAGAAAACCTAGTAACAAATGGATAGACCAAGAAATATTAGAATTAAGCTCTGAAAAAAGTAAATTATGGAATAGATGCAAACGAAATCCCCAGGATGCAGCATTAAAGGAAGAATTCAGACAACTGCGAAACAAGGTGACTGCTAAAAGTAGACTGGCTAAAAAAAGGTTCCATGTGACGAAACTCAAGCAGTGTGGGAAAAACTTACGGCAAACGTGGAATACAGTTAATCAAATAATCGGAAAACCCCCTAAGGACAGCATAGATGAATGTATAAACAAAAATTTCGGGGCAACTATCGGTAATGCGCTAAGCATCGAGTTCAATAATACATTTGTTAAGCAAGTACAAAATCTACGGAACCAAACAAGCAACACTCCAGAAAAACCAGAGCTTTTGGGCTATTCCCCGAATTCTGCGTATCTGCCAGAAATGACAGTCTCGGAACTAAGGGATATAGTTAACAGTATGTCTGTAACAAAGCCAGCCGGGAACGATAACATAAGGGTAAGAGATATACAAACTAACTTTAGCAGCTTAAAAGATGTTTTGCTTGCGATATTAAATGGCGTTTTTGCTACAGGAAATATACCTAATAAGCTGAAGGTATCAGTAGTTCGGCCTATATAAAAGAAGGGGAATAAAAAAGAATTATCCAATTATAGGCCCATCGCGCTGCTACCTGTCATCTCGCAGATCATGGAAAAGTTTGTCTTAAAAATAATGACCTCCTTTTGCGACAAGTATTTATTAATTGGCAACAGTCAGTACGGCTTTAGACAACAAAAAAGCACGACACTGTTACTCGAATATATAACGGACTTTATGAACGACAACATAGACAAGAACCAATTAGTACTCGCACTGTTCTTAGATTTGACGAAAGCCTTCGATACAATTGACCACACAATATTGCTAGATAAGCTGGAAAGAATTGGTTTCCGAGGGCCGTTTCTCAACTTGTTTCGAAGCTACTTTTCCAACAGAACTCAAAAAGTCAGAATTGGGGATGATACAAGTGATGCCTTGTACCTCAACTACGGCGTACCCCAAGGCTCTGTGTTGGGCCCCATGCTTTTTAATGTATATGTTAATGATCTCGCCTTGCTGCCCTTAAAGTCCAACATTTATCAGTACGCCGATGATACGGCTTTAGTCTTGGCAGATGAAAATTACTTCACTGCGGTCTCAACTCTGCAGGCGGATATAAAACAAATAATGAGCTGGTTTTCAAAAAATTGTATTTTTGTGAACAGAGAAAAAACACAATTGATGTGCTTTAGAACTCGTCAAAAACGCGTTAATCTTACAGAGCCTCTTTACTTGCATTCAACGATATGCAGACAGTGTTGTTGTTTACCACTACCCTACGTTGCGGAAACGAAGTACTTGGGTATATACTTTGATGAGTACTTAACATGGAATCTACATGTCGATTACTTACTTAGGCATTTGCGGATAATTTCATCGTACCTTTATAAATTACGAAGTTGTGCAGATATTAACTTAAGACGAATGATTTACCAGATGCTAGGGGAATCTAATCTAAGGTATGAGATAACAGTTTACGCATTCTGCTCAAACTACAAAGTACAAAAAATAGATAACCTAATTAAAAGGATGATAAAAAATATTACGTACGGCACACATCTTGAGGATCGAACCTTTGAAGAGCAGCTGACCAACCTGGACCTGTTGGCTATTGATAACCTACGCAAGTTCGAAGTCATCACAAAATATTATTTCTCGTGTAATTTCAGAGTACAGTCCATCAAACAAAAAAGTCTGAGGCACACAGAACGGTTTGACATTCCAAGGATATACACCAATTATGGGAAAAAAATGAGGAAACATTACGTTCCTAAATATTTCAACGATCTTCCAAATAATTTATTAGATCTCTCGTCCTTAACAGAGGTGAAAAAAGAATTAAGGAAATGGCTCAACGTCGTGCAAAAGTGAAAATGAGTGTTAATGTTTTTTTTTTTTTTTTTTACATTTACGTTTGAATGTTTACATATAAGCGGTCTCCTTGTGTTCCCACTGTGTTCGAGGTATTTTCGTACTATTGCAAACATATCATGGATCGAGAGGAGAGGGAAAAATGCATTTTTGTTGTCGCTTTTTGCTCTGTTAACAAACCCATTGTGTTCTCCTAGGTGTACCCAACTTTCTGCGAAGTGCAATGTAAAATATATGGTTGTATAAGGCAAACAACATAGACAATTTTTTTTTTTTTTAGCTTTGACCGTATTTGGATGGCGTGTGACATGTTATTTAATCTGTCCTTTTATTTCGCGGTAAGGTGCAATGTTTACATAAAACTAAGTTTGCAACATGTGGTGTCAAAATTGAGATGTGTTTATTTTACGCTTGTTCTTTTTCTGTTTGATTTGTTTTTCTTGTATGGACTGCCTGTTCTCACACACAAGCACGCAAGTGCTTTCGTGAGGCAGTAATTAATGTACGTGAATTATTTTGTGCTAATAAAACTATTATTATTATTATTATTATTATTATTATTATTATTATTATCACTAATTTAATTTTTCCAAGATGGCCGTTTTGTTTCGTGAACGTTCTGTGACTTCGGCGATTTACGCGATTTACGAACAGCACTGCCTAATTGGTACGTTGATTTTGGTGGCCATTTATAGTGTAATAACGTGGGTATCTTCTTTTTGTACAGAAAGTAGTATTTCAGGTTCAGATTGTTCTTCGTACAGCTCTAGCTCGGTGGGTCGTCTCCTCTGGACTGCTTGCCTTTTGTCCACGTTTCTTTCCCTCCCAAACCCGTCACACTTTCTGGTTAATTTTCCTGTTTTCAATACCTGCTATTTTGCTAGCAAATATCCAGAAACGTAGATACCATGCAGCTCTACCTGCACTATTCTTTTTATGTTGCGCAATTGCAAGAACCGCTTTTGTTTTGAAATATATTATTTAGCTTACGGCGTTTTATAATATCGTTAGGTAGCCCAGTTACGTTTGCAAAGAACACGTGGCTAAGCGGTGGCGGATAGCACTTGTGTTGATGAAATGGTTTGCTTCCGCATATCCGGAAAGCATCGGGCAGCTCTCAATTATCTAGTGACGAGCCGAAGCAAGACGGTAATGTTGGTGATACAAAACTGAATAGTACCCTTCGTTAAATATTTATTTATTTGCTTGTCTCCTTGGCAGTGCCGCCTGTGCCTGGACAATACCTTGGAAGATAGTGCAAATACGAAGACAAAGCTGTACAGTGGTTATACTCTGCATCTGCACTCTGAATAACGTGATGTCTCGGTAACCACGCACGCTTTGTTACAGAGAAGTTTGTTTCGCTACCTGCTAGGCATCACTGAATTGCTTTAGCTGTGGGCCTTTATTTTATGCTAATGGAATGCACTGCACATACAACAAACAGTTGTAGAGGAGCGCCGTTCAATGAATCCATTCGATCGTCGTAAGCAAATCTGTAAGACGCTAAAGGCTACCGCACGATTCAGTGAGGCTTGTTGACCTATGCTTTGAGCACCCGCTCTTCTTTGTTAGGCTGTAAACCAGGCAGAACGTAAAATTATTGTGAAAACAGCAGGGTTGTGACATGCACGAAAACTTGTCTATCATACTCTGAACATGCTGGCCGCCCAAGCGGCTGACTTGCTGACTGACCGGCTCGGCTTTGTCATTGGCGAAGGCGGAATAAGCAAATGCTAGAGCATGCAGCCAAGTTCGGTGAATTGTGTATTTCTAAAAACAAATTTGCTAAAAGGCTGTTTGTCGCCATTTTCTCTTAACTGAGTGTCTTCTTGAAAGGATTCAAGAAAAGGGGGATTTCAAAACCGGTGCTTGGGAAAACAGATGCCTCCGCTCAGGCGGTACACGCCAATGTTCTCAGATCTATCGGTTGACAAGCTCCACGGAAGAGTAGCGTTAAGAAAAATGAGACGTTTACAATTCTCTGTAATGCGAAAGTAGAACGCAGCCCGTGAGGAGGAGGGGAGGGTTTACCTCTCCTTTCCCTCCAATTTAGCAGAAAATGTGAGCTAAATTTCCTGCCCAATTTAGCGGGTTAAGTTTCACGGCTAAATTTGGGGGGGGGAAATTGACGTCGGGTACCCAATACAGATTTATACGTATTAGCCGTGGCGCAGACGTCACAGTACCCAAAACGAAAACCGTGATTATGTACTACATGTAAACATTTAGGGACTTGTGTGAGCGCGGTGACTCACGGAACCTTTTAGTATGGGTTCATGTTTTCGAAAGCCCAAACTTGCATGGTTTCCTTGTGTTCATAATTTTGAGCTTTATATTTGTTCTTCAATTTCTGCATCTTATTCGGTGAAAATTATGCATCATGCACGACTCTTTATTGCTCAAGGGTTTAGGCATTTACTGTCTTGCAAAAATATCCGAAATTAAATAAATCGCTCCTTTCTTTCTTTTTTTTTGTCGTGCGTATTTTGTTTGATTTTTCACAAAATTTACTTTTCACAAAGCAAGCATATATGCTTCAAAGCAAGCATATCACAAAGCAAGCATATATGGAAACATTTTTTTTTGCGCTGGACATGCAAAATGGCGCCTTGAGCATAGGATAGGAGTGGAACCACACTCGGTAGGCAGGGGGAAGGGGAAGGGTTGGAGGGCTGTAGGCTGGGCTGAAACACGATAGGCCCGCTTCCTGGCTGCGCACCTGACACAAAGCTAGACTGGGTTCTTTCAGGTGTGCCAACTTTTTTGACAAAAGACAAACCTGGCAAGCATCATGCCGGGCTTGAATGCAAAAGACTTGGGGGCTAATCTTGTCAGAGTACTGTGATAAGACTCGAGGTTGTAGGTCTGGCCCGCGGGTGAGACGTGCTCGAGGTCCCTGAGCAGCAATCGTTGTGTCGTGATTGATGCAAAACGCTTATATGCTGGGGTACCTGAAATAAAAATTGCTCACTGTAGAGGTTCTTTCTACTTACCCTCCCCACAATATACATATGCAGTCATACAAGACAGAGAAGTGAGTGAAGCTAAGTTATTGAAATGGGTATCTACTGACCTGGAGAGAGCCACTCCCTCTCTCCAATGAGAGAGTCATGGACGCAGCGGTTGTAGATCCCTCCGTGGCCAGTATGCACATCCGAGGCATGATTGTTGAAGCCTGCAGTTTCATAAAGTTTCTGCTGTCACCCTCCAGTTTACATGACTACCGAATACCAGTTTTATATTATAGAATTGCTTTCTGATCAGGCGATGTTTGAGGAGCTAGTTCGTATAGCTGGGCTCTGCTGATTTTGTCATGTTGGCTTCCTTTTTGCATTCACATTTGTTCTATAATATAATATTTTTATTCAAAATTGGGTGATTTTGGCATTGGGGCGTGAACTTCAGTCAAAAGTTACATACGGCTATAAAAGGTCAGTTGAACTAGGGAAAATAGAATATAGAGAGAACAAGGGACAGACATACCACTGGGACGGTCAACTACAGCTTGTTATTTACGGCTTGTGTCCTACATCCTTCTACATGTACTAGTGTATTCCTCCGATAGGTTGTTCTGAAACATCATCCTTCAATGCTCTTTTTTAATATGATAAGGAAATGCAAGGGTAGTGTGCTGATTTGTTTTTGCCATGACAAATGTTAGATGCGAATGCACTACTGCATGATATACCACAGAAATGTGTGTAATACGATGAATTTTGTTTTTACTTTTTTGCATGTGAATTGTGTCTTGTATTATATAAGGATTCAAACAATGTTCAGCATTGATGAGGTCAGTTAAAACACAGTCTCTCGTAGTTTCGGTTCCCAAGTAACCAAAATCATTATCACGCTTTTGTTAGCTGTTGTACCATCACCCGACCACTTAATCAACCAAAGTCGCCACCGTCGATCGCCTCGCTGCCATCAAAATCTCGCCAAGCACCTCATTGGGACCATTGCGGAGGTGATACACGGCGAAGCGAGTGACTTTAGTTTGGAAGAAAATTGGCAGCAGCAGGGCAAAAGTTGGCTGTAAATGAGGGAAGGATACAAGGGTGGAGGCAACAGACACAACCCCTTTCTGCATGCAACAGCACAAGAGGTGTCCGGTGTCCAAAGAACGATGCACTTTCTGGGGTGAAAGTAGACATGGCACACTTTGTGAAAAAATAATGTACTTTGCATCCTGGTATAAACAATTGAGGTACTAGGGGCAGAGGCGATGGAACTAGTAAAGGACTTCACTAGGGGCAGAGGCGATGGAACTAGTAAAGGACCACAATAGTAAAGGACTTCAAAGCAAACAAGCATTGGCTTTTGCAATTCATTTTCCGGAGTCGCATTAAATGTGGGTTAATCTTTTTTTAATATTATTTTCTGTCGGATTGCAAATAGTGATTTGTATTATATGAAGTTTTTAGTGTATGCAGGTTTTTACAGTAGTGTCAAATGTGACCCTGGACCCACACTTTCTCCAGGTAGACTGCTATGACTTGCTGCGAGTATTTCCCAGAATACACGACAGATGCGTCTTCAAGTAGAGTAAAAGCAGTCCCTGATCTGATTCACAACTCTCACCGTGCCTGCGGTAAGGGAACGCACAAATCACCTTTATATGTGATGGCTGCAGCCACCCGTGGAGTAGCTACTGGCCTGGCAGATGCACATTAGTGATTTTTACAGCTTCGCTGGGATGATTTGTTTATACAAGCATTTTTTTATCTGTAACCCACTCCCTCACATAATGCTTTGGCACTGCTGGGTGTATTAGAAATAAACAAAATATAGTTTTCGAAAATGTTTCTCACTCTTCCACATGTCGACGAGGAGTTTGCCATCTCCTTCGCTGTTGGCCGCACACCAGTAGACATGGTTGGAGGCAGGCTGTGCCCATTGCACCAAGGCACCACACCCTGCATACTTGCTCGCCGCCAGCATCTTTTTGCTTACGCCTGTGCAGAAAGGAACTAGTCAGTACACAGAGCTGTTAATGTCGAATTAATGACAGACTGGTATGATGCTGCAAAGGACATGGAGAATAATGATTAAAGTTTAGCACCTTTTGCTATGTGCCAAGCATCGAAGTAGTGATGGATCTCGGGCTCCTTCGTCTTCATGTGGCCCTTGATGGCGACGTGTCGGTCGGTCACCAAGTCTTCAATGGTGATGCCTTGCCGCTTGAGGAAATCTATGCCCTTGACACAGCCATACAACTCCATGGAGTTGCTGGTCTTGACCTCAAGAGCCTGTAATTGTAAAAAGAATGGTTGCACAATAATAGCATGTTGCATATTATGTTACCTAGACATTCTCAAATCCAAACCATGACAAAAAAAGATTAGGGTAAAAAAAAAAGAAGCAAAATGAGTCAGCTTATATAAAATGGTTGCATAAAAAACATCTAAACCTGTTGCCATCTGATATTAAAACGATGGAGGTGGGGACTACCCAGATAGTATAAAGGACAACATACCATAATTTCTCGAGTAATAGCTGCACTATTTCTGAACAAGGCCCTTGCATCTACTTTACTGCAAAACATATATGGGCCAATCATTGCATTGTGCAGAAATAACATAGCGAATAACTAGATTGAGAACACGATTCTCCATACAAATGCAATCTTCACAGATGGTATCTTTGCGCAAAGACGTTATCTCTGTCCTGTAAACTGCTGGAATCGTGCTGTCGATCTCAATGATAGGCAAACCGCGTGCTCCACAGAAAAGCGAACCCTCAGGTTTTCTTCATAAGCAGTGCGGCTATTACTTGAGTAAATACGGTATGAAGAAACCCTTCAGAGGAACGGGAAGAAGACGAGGAGGTTCGGGGACTGGGCCCGAGCGCGAGCTACAATTTCGATCGGGGATTTTCGTTCGGAACTGGGAAGTGTGAGTAACGCAGCTACCGGTGATTAAAGTAGTGTTTTTTCTTGTAGTCATCAACGCTTCGGCTCAATGGTTTCGACATTTTGGTGCCGAAACCCGGGATCAGGACTGTACGATGGGCCAGATGAGAAGGTGTCACAAGCGTTGATGTAACGAGGCTACAGGACAAGACACCATCCAGCTCGAGAACGCAAGGGACCATAACGACGCTGCCATGGATAGGCTGAAACAGAAGCGGAAAGCCCTGCGTTTACATGTAACAAAGCTGCTGACGGAAATCGATACAGCTACCCAAACCGAACTGCCGATTGAGGAAGAGCTCAATGTCTTGCTGACTCGTCTCAACGCGCTACACGGTCAGCTTAGCGAAACGGACTCTGCCCTCGAACCATTGTTGGCAGCAAGTGACATCGAACAAAAGTATGCTCGGACCGTCGAGTATAGCGATCGTATCGTCACTTACTCGGCAAGACTGACCTTCAAGGTGCGGACCCTACACGAAAGAGCGAGTACAAGCGGTCCAGAAATCCCAACAAACCACCGCAGTCCCACTTTGTCACTCAAGGTCAAGCTACCAAAACTTGAACTCTTGAAATTCAACGGACAACGTCAACGATGGCAGCCCTTCTGGGAGCAGTTCGAGCAGGTCATCCATGGTAACCCAGAACTGTCATCAGCCGAGAAGTTCCACTACCTCAGATCGGCGTTGTCGGGAGAGGCTGCTGCAGCGATTGCCGGATTGCCACCAACGGCCAGCTGTTATGAAGATGCGCGGGAGATCATAAAGTCCCGTTACGGCGACGAGGCGCTGCTAGTAGATGACCACATGATGAAACTAGCAGAACGGCAGCCAGTTCGAACCTCGCAAGACGTCCGAGGACTGCGACGACTACACGATGACCTCCAAGCGCATATAAGAGGACTCAAGTCTCTAGGGGTTAACGAAGATTCCTGTTCGACTCTCCTTTGCCCGCTTGTACTTCGGCTGATTCCAGAAGATCTTGTGCTAACCTTCAACAGAAATGTCGTTCGGAAGAAAGAACAGCGTCGCCCGGAAGATGCGGTTGTAAACACGGCTGGCGAAGGAAACCAACACGCTGTGGAACAGTCCCAGCTAAGGCAACTACCATCACTTATGCAATTTCTGAGAATTGAAGATGAAAGTAGAGAAAGAACGACAGTCACAAACAAACCAGATTCAGGAGGCACAAGAAGTAAAGCAGGAAAAGAGAGTAGAGTAGCATCTCGTGCAGCAAAGCACAAATCAAAACCATGGACAAAGGGAACGGCCGCGACACTTCTACAGAAAAGTGACAAGCAGCGCTGTGTTTTCTGCAAGTCAGCAGACCACGAGACAGAGCTGTGCACAACAACGATAGGTCTTCCCGAGAAGAGGAAGATTTTAACGAGCTCGGGAAGATGCTTTAGGTGCACGAAGAAAAACCACCTGGCCAAACAATGCAGGAAAAACATTTCTTGCTCCAACTGCCAAGGTCAACACGCATCAGTCGTGTGTGACCCAACGTTCTTGTCAAGCTCAAGAGACGACAAAGGCAGACAAGAGGAAAAACTGACTTCTGCTGGTCCAGTGGCCCTACAATCTACGATTGAAGACGGGGTCAACAAAACCGTCCTCCTGCAAACAGCGACAGTGTGGAGCTTGGGACTGAAACAACGCATCCTTGTAAGAGTGCTATTCAACGGCGGAAGCCAGAGGTCTTGTGACACAGAACTACTCTCACGAAAGCTCAAATGCAAGCACCTGGGAAACGAAAAACTGACGGTAGGAGCATTTGGCGACCACACGACGGAACGAAACTTTCGCAGAGTTCTTGTGACTCTTGAAAATCAGAGAGGTGAAGTTTTCCGTTTGGAAGCACTTGAAACAAGCCGTATTTGTGGTCAACGATTGCCCTATCCAAGATAAGAATTGCGTCGCCAACTGAAAAAAAATGGGATACACGGCCGCGGACTTCTGCGAAGCTGAGGGACCCAACGGCGTGGACATACTGATTGGAGGCGATTGCTATTGGAAGTTCGTCACGGGCCAAGTTAGGAGACTCGACGGAAAACTTCGAGAAATCGAGACGTCGCTTGGCTGGACCGTACACGGTCCAACATAACTTTCAGCATCTGTCATCAAGAGCTCACAGATAATCGTTCTCAACGCAACGACAAACAACATGGATGCATCTGAGTTAATGCAAAGGTTTTGGAACCTTGAATCGATTGGTATAACCGACAAACCTCATCCAGAGACAGAACCCGTGATCGCGTCTTACAAAGAAACAGTTAAGAAGATCGGTCTTCGGTACGAGGTGGCCCTCCCGTGGAAACCCGTAGTGAACTTAGACGATAACAAACAAGTTGCGGAGAGGATGCTTCAGCAGCTAACAAGGAAGTTAACTCAGAACCCTAAGTTGATGAGAGACTATGACGTCGCGATCCGGAAGTACACCGAAGGTGGAATGGCAGAAGAAGTGTCAGATGAGCAGACTGGATCTCGGAAGTTCTACATGCCACACCAATCAGTTTGTCGCGAAAGGAGCACCACCACTAAATTGCGAGTGGTATTTGACGCTTCTTCCCATAGCAAAAGCTCGAAGTCGTTGAACGACTGTTTGGAAAGTGGCCCCAATCTGAACCCGGATATTGTCGCGTTGCTTCTGAGCTTCAGAAGACATTGTATCGCGCTAGTGGCCGACATCGAGAAGGCTTTTCTTCAGATAAGTATACAAGAAGATGATCGCGATGCGTTACGCTTCCTGTAATATAAAACTACCCCACAGGTGGGAAGACCACTTCCTCCAATTCTGATCTGGAGGATGACGAGAGTTCCTTTTGGAACTACATCGAGCCCATTTTTATTGTCTGCGACGATAAAACATCACCTGGAAACAATGAAGAACGACTATCCAGACACCGCGGTGCTGCTGCAAGATTCCATTTACGTGGATGACATTCTTACCGGTGCATCCAGCGAAGAAGAAGCCACTAAGATCTTCAAGGAATTGACAGCAATTTTCGAGCAAGCGTCAATGAAGCTGCACAAGTGGGTGTCTAACTCGAAAACGCTCTTAAATGAGGTTGACTCGAATCACCAAGAGGAACACCCATTGGGGCAGGTTGCGGGAGTTTAAGGTGCTGGGACTAACGTGGAACCCTGCCACAGACCTCTTAACATTTCCACCAGACGATGTTCTGAACTTCGTAGAGAAGCACTCAGACACAAAAAGGTTTGTCCTACAGACTACAGCCAGACTCTACGATCACCTAGGATTCATCGCGCCATTTGTCGTGCGAGCAAAGATCCTATCTCAACAAATCTGGAAACAGAAGATGGAGTGGGACGACCTACTGCCTCTTGACCTGCGCAGTGAATGGCAGCGATGGTGTGCGGATCTTCCATTGCTATGTGACGTCATGGTGCCACGTTTCTACAGACGGGGAATAGAGGGAGTGACGATCAGGACAAACCTGCACATCTTTGCCGATGCAAGTCCTCAGGCGTATGGAGCCGTAGCATACGTAACTATGACGAATGATTCCGGCTCCACGACATCCACGATCCTGCTTTGCAAGTCTCGAGTGGCACCTCTAAAAGAACTTTCTGTAGCGAGGCTAGAACTTTTGGCATGTCTTTTGGCAACCAGACTAAGTGTCTACATTAAGACCAACCTGCAGGAGAACATCCACGAAGTGCACTTGAGGACCGATTCGAAGATAGCTCTTCATTGGATCCTCGGAGAAGCAAACGACTGGAAACAGATTGTAAGAAATAGAGTCGTTGAAATCCAGCGAAACTCTGAACCTTGCTCTTGGAAACACTGCCCAGGCAAAGAGAACCCGGCTGACCTGGTGACCAGAGGAATCACAGCCAGGGAGCTGCTCGACAGTGAAGTATGGTGGAAAGGACCTAGCTGGTTAACAGTGCAAGAGCGGCGGCCAGAGAAGTCTGAACCGCAATAATTCAATATAGAAGAAACAGAGAAGAAAAAGGTTGCAGCGTTACCTACGGCAACAGCAGACCAAACGATGGTTCCAGAAATTGAGCGGTTTAGCACAGCTATGCGACTTCGGCGAACAATGGCGTGGGTACTCCGCTTTATAATGAAGTCTAAAAGAATTAGCGCTCAAACTGGACCATTAACCGCGGAAGAATTGAACAGAGCCGAAAAATATATAATAAAGAATGTACAACGTAGAGCCTTCGAACAGGAGATAAAGAATCTTCAAGACGGCAAAAAACTACCGCCAGATTCTGCTAAAAGAGACATTTCTCTTTTTCTGGATAACGATGAAATACTTCGGGTAGAAGGAAGACTACAGTTCTCCGAAAATTCCTTTGAAGAAAGGCAACCCGTTGTGCTGCCAAAGGACGACCACTTTTCGAAGTTGTTGAT